ACCGAGCAAGCACAGAGGGAATCATGGGCTCTCATGTGGCTCCTGCTCTGAGTGTCCCTGTCAGCATCTTCTGGATTCCCTGACAGGGTCAGTGGTCGCATGACAAGGTGGGGTGAGCCTCATTTAAGGATCTGCCAAGGTGTGGCACCTCGATTCTTCCCTGGATGTGGGGGTGCGTGCTGTGCCTGCTCCACAGTGAGCTCTACAATAGCCGAGGCTCTGCAGGGCTGGTGAGGAGCTGCGCAGGGTGTAAAATAGGGGAGGAGCTCCAGAGGGTCCAGATGGACCTAGGGGCCGCAGTGTAGGCCACCTTCCCTGCTTTCCCCCTTTATGTAAACATGATTCAAGTTGCAGGGACCAGCCTGGTGACCGAGACACCAGCTCTGTAGAAGACAGGGTGAGATCTAAGGTCCGAGACAGGCTTTCCCCTTTGATGGTTCTTGGCATCGCTGAGACACTCCATTAGAACTGTTAAAGCATCAGAGCCAGACAGGTTTCTGTAAGTTCGTAAGTGGGGGTGCATATCTCTAGCTCTGTAGTGCAGACCTGAAGACATAGCGTGTGCTTTGCAACTCTGGGGACTCCCCAGGCAGCAGGAAGGAGCTGGGGTGGGGTGGGGTGTCCGCTTTAATATTTATACTTGGAACAGGAGGAGGAAGGCAGTTCCTCTCCTCCCCATAAAGTCCCAATGTTGAGGCACACACCTCACTGGTGGCTGTTGTCCTAATGGCTTGGTCCCAAATACAGCCTCTTGACATAGTATTACTTCTAAGTTTCCCACAGGCCCAGAAGTATGAGTGCACTTACCCTCCAGTGTGCCCCCAGGGAATGCCTACACATCACAAACCTCCTGGCACACACAACACTCCTCAACTTGGAGAGGTTTTCCTTCTGCTCCAGTGGCTGTTTAAAAAGTGTAGTTCCATCCCAATGGCTGGATGCCACCACCCATGGACAGCTGCCGGCATCCAGGATCCTGGGGGCTCCACACAGAGGTCAGCAGCATAGCCAGTGTTTGATCCCAGCCATTTGGGGAGTGCACTTCACACAGCCCTGGCAGGGAGCCACCCAAACAGAACCATCCAGAATACCTGCTGAAATAGGTTTGTTTTGTTTTGTTTCGTTTGTTTTGTTGAGACAGGGTTTCTCTCTGTTGAGACAGAGTTTCTCTGTGTTGAGACAGGGTTTCTCTGTGTTGAGACAGGGTTTCTCTGTGTCGCCCTGGCTGGCCTGGAACTGGCTCTGTAGACCAGGCTGCCCACCTTTGCCTCCCGAGTGCTGGGATTAAAGGTGTGCACCACCACTGCCAGGCTTCAAAATATTTTTTAACACAGGAATTCACTGTGATCACTTCCAGGGCCTTATCTTAACCACAGATGCACATTTTCTGTCACAGCTCTTGAGGAGTGCAGTACTAGCCATTGCTCCAAACATGGCACTCACCCCAGCATCAGGAAAAGAAAACCACGTCCTCCTGCCACCCCTCCCTCCTCTTCCCTGGGTGCACAGGAGTGGTGTCTGCCTGCCAAGTGAGTGTGGGATCCACTGCTTCTGAGCTGTGAGTAGAGGTGGGGAGAGCAGCCCTGGGGGCTGCCCAGAAACCCTCCCAGCCACCCCATGTCACCTCTGTAGGTTCCAGCGGCCAAGGCACTGACATGTGCCTTCAGTTCGTCTTTACACCAGACTCTTTGGCGTGACCCAGCTGTGGCAGCTTACAGAACAGTAAAATGTTTGGGCAAAGCCTCCTGCCAGTGTCCACTAGCATAGGCACACAGGGTAGGCTGTGGAAACCCTGGCTTGTGCTGGCCTCTAGGCACCTGTGGGTAGTTCTGGGGACAAGCAGAACTCATGTCAAATGGTCCTCTGGGAAGTCTCAGGAATGAGAGAATACATGGGACCACCACACAGTTCAGCTCTCTCTGCCATGGTGTGGACCATGGCCTTGGAAAATTATTTTTCATTGCTAGGCCAACGCAATGGAAAATATCTGTTCATTCATTCATTCACTTACATGGCCATGCTCAGGAGATGAAATGCACTTGACTTCACTCTTGGGGAGCTGGCCATAGATACCCCCATCTTCCTACTCTGGCACCACCCAGGAATGAAGGCCATTCTTCCCCATGTGGGGAACTGTCTCCTCACCTTGAGCACCTGTTTCTTCCTACAGATGTTCTAGGAAAGAAAAAGGAAGGCAAGGGAGTAGCATGTATTGAGTCCCTGCTCTTTGCCCAGCCATGAGGCTTCTATAATTAGATGAGACAACTCAGGCTTTGAGAACTGGCCCTGAGGTGTCTTCTCAGCTGGGCAGGGTGAGCCTCTCCAGGGGAAGAGGGTGTGGTGTGAAGGAGTGGGAGACCCTGTGTTGAAGTTACAGAAAAGCTGTAACTCTGTGAAAAGACAGGCGTCACGAATAGACACCCTACAGATGGAGTGAACCGACAGTGTGAGTTAGTGAGCACCACTTCTGGAAGACCTTCATCAGAGTTGCTGTGGCTGGGAGGAGGGCTTCTGTGACCTTCTGCTGGCTCTGTCTACATATACACGCAGGTTTTCGTGTGTGTAAGTGCAACAGGCTCTCACATGCCTCATCACGGTGCATATGTGGCGGTCAGAGGACTTCTTCACCTCCCACCTTCCTTAAGACAGGGTCTCTTGTTGGTGGCTGTGCACTCCAGGCTGGCTAGCCGGTGAGCTTCTGGGGATCCTCTTGTCCCTGCCTCCCACCTCACCGTCGGTGCTGTGATAAGTGCAGCTGACACATCCATCCAACCAACCAACCATCCATCCATCCATCCATCCATCCATCCATCCATCCATCCATCCATCCTCCTGTGAGTCAGTGGGATCATTACTCAGGGCCACACATTTGCATGACAAGCGCTTTGACCCACTGAGCCGCCCCCCCCCCCAGACCACACTGCTATGTAGTGCCTGGTGGACCTTCAGCAGACACACACCTTCAGCAGTGACCCCACTTTGTGTGCTTGTAAATGTGCACAAAGACACACATGGAAAGAACACACATTGCAGCCCTGGCGATGAGAAAACGCCCACAGATGTGCAAGGCGGCTGCTCAGCGCGTGATATGAGAGCCGCACGGACAGTGTGGCTCATCCGTTGCAAGTTCTCTGTGAATTGTGTAAAAGCTCCAGAACTCAGTTAACGGTGAAAAGTAAGATACGTGGCGTCTCTGTTGCGGCGGAAGGGTGGGACTGTCCTTGCATTGACCCATATCTGATGAGTGGTCTAAAAGGGTGGCAAGAACGAGGTAACGGGAGGCATACCGTTCGTTCTCTGAATAACCTCTTGTAGTTTCTGAGTAATTTGTTTGTAAAGCAGTATCCATCGAGGGCCAGGCATGGTGGTGTGCTTGGGAGGGCAATGGTAGAGGGATCTCTGAATTCAGGACCAGTCTGGTTTATATATAGTGAGTTCCAAGCCAGCCATGATTACATAGTAAGATCCTGTCTTAAAAGTAACAACCAAAAAAACATGAGTCAAAATGTTTTTTGAGTGGGTTGGAGAGATGGGTTAAGGTTTATGGGCACTTGCTGCTGGCAGAGGACCTTTGATTTGACTCCCAGCACCATAAGATGGCTCATAACCATCTGTAACTCCAGTTCCAGGGATGCTGTGCCTTCTGCTGGCCTCGGCAGGCACTGCACACAGCGGTGCTTAGATAAAATTGCAAGCAAAACACCCATACACATAAAAAAATATTTTCTTAAGCTTCAAATTTAGGTTTTAGTAGGCTGGATCCCTCAGAGGGCAACAGAGGACAATGGGCACAAGCTAATTTTTATTGAGCCATGTTATCCACCAGACACTGTGTGAACATGGTTTATATTTAATCCAGTCTCTATCCATTTACATCCCAGGCTTTAGAGGGTGCTGGTCTTTTCCTGGCTGTCTGGGTCATTTGCCTGCTGAAATGGCCAGAAGCAAAGGGAGGGATGCGTGTGGGTGGCTGTGTACTCCAGGCCAGTGCCGAGACACCCTGGAGCTGACACCCCTACCCATCTGCTTCAGGGTCTGCTTCTCTTGAGTTGTGTCCCTCAGCTTTAGCTGAGCTCTGTAGCTGACGATGGCTGGATTGGCCTAGAGAGGGAGAAGGCACTTTTAGTCCATGCTCTTCTGAGTGTCAGCTGCACGCCCTGGCTGCCAGCTGGGAGTTGTTTTTCTGATTGTCAGACCCAGGCTCCTTACTTGCACTTAGGGGAAAGAGCATCCAAGTCCTTGGTACAAAAGGTCCCTCTTTTCATGGCTTTGGAAGAAACTGTGAATGAGCTCATTATCACTGCAGCCCAAGAAGGGGGCAGGCGATCCTTGTCTGGCTGTCTAGATCTCCCCTGGCCACACACACTGGACTAGGGGCAGATGTGGCAGCTGGGTTCCACAGGAACCAAAGCCAGGTGCTGAGACAAGTGGTCCACCCCAGGGGCCGTGCTGACATTTGGATGCTTTGAGTCTCGCTGTCTCTGCTGTGGGTCCAAGGAAGGGCAGGGTTGATGTCCCTTTTCCCCCAATAAGTGCAAACCCCCATCTGGCCTCCCCGATGCAAAAGGGTTTCCATCCAGGGCTACATCTCCCCCTCCCCCCCACCCAGCTTCCGGGAGCTTCCTGTGTGCATGTGGTCTGCCTGCCTCTACACCTCAGAGCTGGCAGTCATGGCCACCCCTTATCTATCTGTATTACACTCATGACTCTACGTGTTTGGAGCAAAACATAGAGCAAAGCTGTCACGGAACCTAAGCCCTAACGTGCACAGACTACTGGGGTAGGGAGTGAGGCTTCTGAGTCCAGGAGAGAGGTCATGTTTTTACCTCAGCCCACACCACTGCTATGTGGAGCCCCACAGAGTAGTTTTCCCTACCTTCTGGGCTGGGTTAGACCCTGGGAGGACAGACATGGTGGTCCTGACCTTGAGCTGGCATTGCTGGCCCCAGGTTGACCCCTCTCTTGACCCCCCACCTTCTGTTCTTTTCCTTCTGTTTCAGATTGAGAAAATCATGAGCTCCATTGGAGAAGGCATTGACTTTTCTCAGGAACAGCAGAGGATCTCAGGTACTGTACTAGTCCCCACCTTGTAGAGCACGGGCCTCTCTCTGGCTCTGGCAGCCTGAGGGTCTTCTCTGACCCAAGACAAACATCTGTAGAAGAAAGGGGCCAGCCTCAGCCATGTCCCTGGCCCTCTACTGTTGGGGAAATGACTGCATTTCAGAGGGGAGTATAAGCATTGAATCTGAGACTGCGTAATAAGAAAAGGAGTTGCAGTGTCCAGTAGTGTCAGGCTGCTCATTGTCTTGGACTTCATCAAGAGTGGCCCAGACTGGAGTTACTTCCACACCTGTCCCCAGTCCCTGAGGTGGCTCTGGCTCCAGCATGGCCCTCATAGGCCTTGTTCACTGCATTGGCAGTGTGGGGCAGATGAATGTCCCCTGGGGGTGGGGGTGGGGTGGGGGTGTCTCTTTCCTTCCCAGATCTCTCGGTCATCTGCTGGTCTCACCCAGATCCCTACAGAACAGCTCAGTCTGGTCCTCCAAGCCATTAGAGTAAGGTCTGCCTTGCTTTCCTTTTTTGTCAAGTGGGCCATCATGCCGGGGTCTCCTTCTCAGGAGAGATGTCCTTAAAGTGCCTCTTGGAGCTGGTGCTCACGGCCCCCAGAGGCCTGGTTCAGACCACCTTGTAGAGCACGGGCCTACTGAAGCAGGCCCAGCTTCCCTTTCTGAGGAGTGTGCCACCTGGCCCAGCAGCCTTCCTTGTGACGCTTCCCAGTCTTGGGCTTCTGTTGTCCTGCCAAGAGGCCTGATGGAGCAGGGTGCTGTATGAATTGGAGAAAGGAACTGTGGCTAAGCTGGGCAGAGTCTGGGCTCCTGGAGCCACTCTGCCCTGAGTTCAAATCCCAGTTCTAGATACAGACTTCGTTTCATCCACCCGAGCACCAGCTTCCTACCAGCACCTCTTGGGAGGAGGAACAGCCTCAAGCAGCAGGCCCCAAGCCAAGCAGCAGCTGCTCAGAGGAACTGACTGCACTGGGTCTCTAAGAAGGGCAGGACTGCAGCACTGGAGTGCAGTCCTGTTTGGATACCCAAGAGCCCCCAGACTGTCCACCCCAACCCCCAACAGACAGGTCTCACAACTGCTTCATGCCTCTGTCAACTACCAGAAGTCCATCACACTAACCATTCTGTCTAGAGGATAACCTGACTTTCCTGTTTGCACTCCCAGTGACTGCTGAGTGACTGCCAGGTGTAGCCTCCAGGCGGGCCCGGTCCCTCTGGACACAATGCCTGTATGTGGCCTATTGAGATGCAGGTGCCTCCAGCATATTTCTGGAATGATGTGTGGTTCCTGTATATCTGTGACGTTTGTCTCCTCCCTGGCGATACTTGCAGTTGTTCAGGCCTCCCCTTGGCTGTCCCTTGCTGAGTGTCCCTACCCTAGGTGTGTGCTTCTCCCTTGGCCCCTGAGATCTCACCTAAGGAGCATCAGGTGCTGTAGCCTTGCTGTGACATTTTCATGCTGAGTAGAACAATGCTTCCTCAAGCGGGAGGCGGGGGTCACTTGACTGTGGGCTCTGTTGCCCCTTAGTCCCTTCCCCTGGCTGTCCTTGAAACTGCCAACCCAAGTCTTCTGTGCCCCTGTAAGAGGTTTTGGGCCCCCAAGCTTTCAATGAAGCTGCCATCCCCCACTTAGTGCCGGTCTGCATTGCCAGCATCCATCTCCGGAAACCTGTCATTTCACTCTGGCTCCCCCTCAGCAGCAGAGCTTCTGCTCCGATGTCCGATCCTTGATGTATTTTCCTGAGCATGGAAGGGGGAAGGGTGGGAGGGGAGGAAGGGGAGGGCCAGACGAGAGTGAGCAAGGACTGTGGAGCTGGCAGTCAGCAGCCAGCAGTGTGGAGCCCCAGAGCCTCTAGACAAAGCGTTACATTCTGCTGCGGCTCTGTAAGCGCACACATCCGCCGGCAGCAGCCTGGACTGGACCACAGCTGCCCGGCCTGGGATTACAAGCAGGAATGAATCAGCAGCTGGGGTCACACAAGCTCATGAGCATTCAGAAGCCTGCTGCGTAGGTTCCTGGAGCCGACTTTCCATTCAAGGGCAAGTTTAAGAGCCCCCAGACTTGGCGTTTTGGAGCACTGCTACAGCCTGCATCCAGAGACTACCAGTCACCACCCACCATCTGTTCTTCGGAGGACAGGAGAGGAGTGGAGGCTGCCACAGTTGGTCAGCAGGGTCCCTAAGACAAGCAAATTGGCATTGCCCTGCCTTGAAGGGCAGAGACCGACAGTAACGGCAGAATGACTTTCACCGTGTCGAGAAGAGTCCCTGGGAGGTGATGTCTCTGTGGTTGGTCCTTCTTTCTCCTGCCTCGAACCTGTCTTTTCCTCCCCTTCTTTATCCTCCTTTTGCCTGTCCTTGCTTCAAGAACCAAAGAAGTAGGGTGGGGTGTGAAGGCACCCAGCTCAGAACATCTGAGGGCTGCTGGAAGGACTGAACTTTTGTCTTCCCTGCACTGCCCCAGTCCTGTCCTGACCATAGAGCAGGATGAATAAATGTCCCCTTGCCTGTGCATCTATAGAGACGGTGGGACCAGAGACCCCAGGAAGAAAGCTGTGTGTGTTGCTTGACCAGAGAGCAGCGCAATGTGAATAGACAAGCTGCCGGCTCCTGACGGACAAGTGCCGCCTCTTTCTTTTATCTGCTTGGGTTTTGTCTTCTTTGACCAAGAACTGAACAGCCCAGCCGCTTTCCTCTAAGCAGGCAGACAGGCAGGTCACGGGAACTGCCACCGAAGACGGGGAGAATGAACACCACACTCGTGGAAGCCAACCCGGATCAGAAAGGCAGCTCCTCAGGCAGCGCCTCAGCCCAGGAGGCACGCAGTTTGCTGGCCACACAGCCTGGTAGAAGACAGTGCCATTGACCTCGCAGAGCCACACCTGAGCCTGATCCCCACACTCCAGCTCACCTGTCCCGCTCTGCTCCCTGACTGCCCTGAGCTGGGAGCACAAAGATCTGGGGCCATGGTTTGCTTATTCCGGGACTGCTGGGGGAAATCAAGTAAAAGTCCCTTCTGTCCCCCTGCCGTGTTCTGTGCTGCTTGCCTTGCATGTGCCGGGCCCCTGTGAACAGCCACCGCGCTTCCTTCCCGGAGCCCTCGCTGTACTGTATGCCTGTGTCCCCTCCGCTGCATGAAGACTCGTGCTCACTGCCAACTGGTTCACGCTGCAAGGTCACACAACTAGCCCCTCGCCACGGCCCCTCAGCCGCTCCAGAAGTTGCATGGAGAGGAGCAGCCAGGCTGGTGGGCACTTAGGAGCTCTAGCGTCCCCCTCTAGTGCCTGTGGGGACAGACTTTCTGCCATGCCTCTGTGTGGATGGACACTGATGAGGAGTTGACCCAGAGACCATTGGGGGTTGGCTCCCCCAGCCCTAGGGCAAGATCGTGCATGTGTGGCCTCGGCCCTGGCCCCGGACAGCTCCTGTGGTGGGGTGTGAATGGGCAGCAGCCACCCAGGTTGGCCCGTGTGCAGTGCCAGGCAGCTCTGCCCTGCCTGCACGGGGCAAGAGAAGCAGAAGCCTGCTCTCTGTGCTCTCTTGTACACAGTCTGGCTGTTTTATGGTAATGGCTATGGTGTGGCAGTGCCATCTGTCTGCCTCTGAGTGCCGCTGCTACCGCCTTAATGGGTTTTCCCTTTTCAAGCGTCTGCCGATTCCTCTCTCGTCAGGTTCTCGTACGCTGGAGCAGAGCGTCGGGGAGTGGCTGGAGTCAATTGGCTTGCAGCAGTACGAGAGCAAGTTGCTGCTGAATGGCTTTGATGATGTCCACTTCCTGGTAAGTGCTTGCAGGCCACTTCAGTGGTCAATACTGGTGCTGCTTGTTGGAAACTGGCCTCCCTGCCTGAACTGTCCCCGCTGGAGTTTGCATGAGTGTGTAATCCCTTACCTCAGGGAAGAGCTAACAGAGGGAATGTGTACTAAGAAGTCGGCTGAGTGCCTGATGCCAACTCTGTAGATACTCCTGGCCCCACTGTCTCTGTCCCAGACGCCATTCAGCTGGAGCACTCTCAGGAGGATCCCTGACTCAGACCCTTGCCCTAGCCCTGCTTCTTAGACTGGATGCTTGTATGTTGTGTGCTAAGGTACCTTGGCCAGCATGGGGAGCCTGTTCCCAGCAGCTTTGCTAGACAGGACAGCCAGCTACCCCATGGCTGCCTCATCTCATCTGGACACCACAAGTTTCCTTATTTTTCAGACCTTTGTTATTGTCACTGAGGCAAAGGTTCCTGTCTGCCCAGCCAAGTGACAGAGGCCAGGGCCACGTGTGCCTGGCCCCAGACTGTCAGGGAAAGGCTGAGTGTCAGTTTGGTTGCTTTTCCGAGGTTCAGTCTGCACTCGAAATACTGGGGGCAGTGGAACAACCGGGGCCTCTCCTCTGCTCCCTGGGGATTGGGGACTCAGCTTAGACCCTGGGCTGAGGAGCCAGTGGTCCCACTGTCCTCTGTCTCCTAGAAGCCTTGTCCAGTGTGTCTGTCCTCATGGGGCATTCAAGGCAGTACCTGAGCCAAGGCGTGCACACCATAGCAGTGGCTGTGACAGCTGATGTCCTTGTGGTGGGCTGGGCACCAGTCTCAGTGGTTCCTGTGTGTGAGCTCTGTGACTTCCCAGAACCACGAGTGTGTGCTGACATCTTCACCTGCTTCCCGCATACAGACAGTGAGGTGCAGAGGTTAAGTGGTTTGCTCGGGACCACACTGCTGGTGATTGGCCAAATGAAAATGTGTGCTTGGGAGTTATAAAGCAAGGAGCCACTCTCTGAACACTGTGTCACCCACTCTCTCATTTCGGGGGGTGGCACAGCCATTTATGTGTTGCATGTCTTGGTAAGCGAGCAAACCCCCTGCCCTGTTCCTCCCGTTTTCTAGGAGGCCTGTCCCCTCCTCTCCTAGTCCTGGGGGCTTCCGATTGCCCCCTTGAAGCAGAGCTCTCTCACTCATGTTCACTTGCCCTGCACCTCGGGTGAGGGGCCGTGTTTATAGCGCGGGCACAGAGTCCCAGCTGACCCTCTGTCTCAGTGGGATGGACTGGATTTACTCTGTCAGCACAGGCTTCGGTGTCTGGGGAGGGGGGGGACCCTGCTTGTGGCATCCAGGAAAGACCTGATGAAGAGTGTCTTAACCAAGCCATCTCTGTCCCTGGGCAAGTCTGCTGCAAGCCACCCTCTCAGAGTCAGGTTTGGGGCAGTTCTTTTCCAGACTATAGTTTTAAAATAGCAGTTTGTTTCCTTTCTAGTTATTAAGCTATGTGGGTGTGTTTATGGTTCCTGGCTCTTACTTCTGACTCACCATGCTCTTTGGGGAAGAACCATGAACTAGGAAGGAGGGAAGGAGGTGGCTTCGGTCAGTGGGAAGCACAGCTGTGGGCTTTTGTGGTCTTCCCTTCTAAGTCCTCCCTGCTGCTGGCAGGTCAAACAAGAGTGGCCCAGATCTGCAGACACTCGCCATGCTCCAGTGTTCAGGGCTGAGCCCACAGATCACAACTCACATTGCCCAAACTTGGAAAGGGTTCATTTTCTAGCCTTTGAACAACCCCAGGACCCTACTAGAGACCCAAACCAAAAAACAGCTAGATAACATTTGGGGAAACATGGCCCTGAACCAGATGCCCATGTAAGGCACAGGGCCTGTACCAGAAAGACCACCCCGGTGGCCAGCAGTTTGGTGCCTCTAGGGCCTGTTTGGTCTGAGACATCCACAGAGGTGTCCACCCAGAGGTGACCAAGGACACCTGAGTTTAGTGTGTTGCTTCAGGTGCCCGGAGTGGCCAACACAGCATCCTGGGTAATTGTGCGCCAACTGCCAGTAGGCTGAAGATAAGTCTTAGCAGAGGCCTGTTCCCATTCCTGAAACATGCCCTAAGCACATGAGCCCAGTGTCGCCCATCCAGTTTGGGTTACAGTAGACTGTGAATGTTTCCACCAGATGCAAAGTAGCTCCAGTAAACCCAGATCCAGATGTGTTGGGAACATCTGGACACACAGGTTCACAGTCAAGCTCTGTGTCAGGGCCCTTGTAAGCATTATGGAGCCCTGTGCATAGTCAGACGCTTTCTCCATGCCAGATCATCCCTGCCCTGAGGTTTTCAGTGACAGGGGACCCTGACATTTGCATTGAGTCCTTGTACTTCTGTCTGTCTGCTGCTCCCAGGTTCACCTTTGGGGCCACACAGAACACGTGCGCCCTCTAGATGATTGAAGGCTTCTCGGTGCTCTGTGTTGTCTGGGCTCGGTGGTCTTAATCCTGACTGTTGCCACAGTGATCGTGATGGATTTGGGCTAGCAAACGTCTTCCACACCCTCTTGCCTGTAGACAGAAAGGGTCAAGCCACGGCCTTGAGAGCTCCCATGAGCTCTTGAGCTGATGGGGCCTGGTGAGGGCCCAGTGCTAGCACTAGGAAACCAGGCTGTCTTGCCAGCCAGTGGCCACCACGCTCCTCGTGCCTCATAATCTCCACCACAGACCATGTCCACAGGAAATGGGCTTTCTCGGGAGTAAGGAACAAATGCGTTCAGTCAGTTCAGGAGGAGGTCATTGGTGGCTGGCACACCCATGCCTCCAAGCATGCTGGGCCGCTGTCTGACAGCCTCGTGGGAGTTTTGATGTCATAAATGATGGTGACCCTGAGGCCAGAGGGTTGTAACAGGTGTGAAAAGACACAGTGACGAGTATCTGATGGAGGGAAATCCATTCGTGTGGGGCTGCTGAGGCAGGGCACACACAGGGGCGCATGACCCCACTGTTGTTGCCCTGTGCGGGGCTGCTGAGGCAGGGCACACAGGGGCGCATGACCCCACTGTTGTTGCCCTGTGCGGGGCTGCTGAGGCAGGGCACACAGGAGCGCATGACCCCACTGTTGTTACCCTGTGCGGGGCTGCTGAGGCAGGGCACACAGGAGCGCATGACCCCACTGTTGTTACCCTGTGCGGGGCTGCTGAGGCAGGGCACACAGGAGCGCATGACCCCACGGTTGCCCTGTGCATGGGAGATATAGGGAATGTCAAGACAGGCCTGTGCTGACCTCTGGTAGCTCCCTGTTTCTTTTGGAGGCATGATGGGCTTTCTCTCTTTTGCTGTGAGTGGAGGTTGGAACAGCAGATCCCGTGTGTTGGAAGGGACCTCATGGTCCAGCTGCAGATGTCAAGTTCAGCAAGTAGCATGGTGGAGCAACCTTGGGCTACGGTCTGGTGCCACAGGAGCCACAGGAGCCACGTTTACCATGTCCCGCTGTACCTGTGACTCATCAGGTCACAGGTATAGCAACATCACCCAGGTTTACAGGCGGGACAGCGGAGGACCAGAGAGCCGAGAAGGTTGCAAGAGACACTAGCTCCCAACTTGGACCTGTGTTTACCAAGTCTAGAGAGGACAAGAGGCTGCTGGCAGTAGCACAGGAAGTTGGCTTGAGAACAGAGCCTGGTGAGGCAAGAGGGTGAGCTGGACCTGACCCTGGTACCCTGAAAGCCAGGTGAGGGGCCCTGATGTCTCTGAGGGGCCTTTGTCTTGTGGCTCCCACCAGGCAGAAGGCATAAGTCCAGGTCCACCTTTGCCTCCAGAGGATGGTTGAAGGTGATGTCAGGACAGGGCGGGGTACTGGGGGTGGGAACATGGCTCCAAGCAGGTTAGAAGCAGATGGCATGGGAAGGAAGTTACTCCTTGTGCTAGCGGCCCCCCCCCCCCGTCTTCTCCACTGGGTCTCTGCTGCAGGGCTGGTAGGCTCCTATAGGGTTCCTGTGTGTTTCTAAGGCCCTTGGTCTTCGTGTTGGAGAAGGCTGATGAGTGTTTTGACTCCAGGCACAGCTGGGCCTGGAGCCCCTCCTTTAGGAGCTTCTGTCAGACCAAGTCCCCAGGCTCCTAAGGTGCCCTGTCCCATGGCTGAGTCTCAGACCTCCTGCCCTGGCCTCTGTGCTCCCTACGGCCCCTTCCTGCTCCTTTCTCCTTCCTTTTATCTGCTGCTGGTCCAAGGACCACAGCACTTTGTGAGCCAACTGCTAGGCTGGGATTTTCTCTGTCCTGTTGACATATGGCCCAAAGCAGGAGGATTGGTGGAGATGAGTGGACAGCAGGGTTCTCAGAGACGCCTGTGTCCTCCTTTCTGGGCCACATCAGTCTGTCACTTGAGAGCTAAACTCCTCGGTGCCCCAGGCACTGATGGTCCCTTGAGCTTGACAGCCTTAGGGTACTCTGGCTCCAAGTGCCACCCACTCACCCTTCAAAAAGCTGGTGAGAGAATTGGAGAGAATCTGTCTTCCTGTGCTCTGCAGCCTGGCCTGTGGTGGCTCATGCCCATGACACCTGCAAGGGAAGGCCATGTGGTGGTCACCATGAAGTAGATGGGGGAAGCTCAGGAGAAAACCAAAGCTCCACTCGGTGGCAGAGAGCTTAAGTGAAGACTGCGTATTCTCTAGATCTTTCCCAGTGGCTTTGGGCAGGGTCTTCCTCCCTGTGGGATGTGGTTTACCAGTGTCCTTCAAGGTCCACACATTCTCGTAAGCTCCGAAGGGAGCATGCCATTATCACCCTTGCTGGAGAGCAGCTGTTACTGCGTGGAGGCTGACAGGCAGTAGGGTGGTGTGTGCCCTCCTCTGGAGCAGAGCGGGCAGCAGTGGCATCTGCAGGGATGAGCTGCTTTTGCCTGCCAGTGCCTGCAGACACACACGAGGCTGTGGAACTAACCAAACTCTCGACTGACTCAGGCCCAGCAAACCTACACTGCATCTGCCAGGTCAAAAGACAAGGACATCAAGAACCTGCCTGCATCAGAGACTCTGAGAGCAGGCCAGAGTGTCAGGGAGCACCCAAGGCCTGTGCCCCAGCACCTCCACAGTTCTTTCCTCAAGGTGGCAGCAAGATTGTGTGCACGCCTTTAATCCCAGCGCTGTGGAGGAAGAAGCAGGTGCATTTCAGCCCAGTCTACATATTGAGTTCAGGCCAGCCCCAGAGGCAGAGAGAGACCCCATCCCCAGAAAAGAACAGAACAACAATGACCTCAACAAGAAAAATGTACAAAGGGAAAGAAAAATGCTGGCATCCCCCACCCAGGGGATGGGTAGACAAGTGGCCTTGACAGTTGCTTTGTGCTTCCTTAACTTCCTCATGTGGAGAAGGTAGGACTCAGTGAGCACAAACCACACCGGAGACAGCGGTGGCAGAGGAGAGCAACTTGCTCCGGGTCTCATTGCACCTTCTGCAGTTGACCCTGGCCCAAAGGCTGAAACGCAGAGCAGCTATCTTTTGTCCCGGTTTGAGCTTCTGCCCCTCTCCTGTCCTACAGTGTTCCTTCTCACAAATGCTGCTCCTCCACCCACAGAAGGGAGGACATCAGGGAGGTCGCATTATAGTCCAGGACCTGATTGCTGGGGCTGCCCATGTGGCAGCTGGCAGATCCCAGGACTGTGCCTCTTACAGTGTCCTTCCTCTGGATTCAGGGAAATGGTGCCAGCTAGCCTTTCCTGCCTTCTGTTTGCAGCTGGTGAGCTCCCTACTGTCAACTGGGCTCCCCTAAGCCTGGGTCTTTCTAAATGAGGTCTGCACTCCCTCTGTACCCACCCCTACAGCCCCCTGTACCTCCCCAGGCCTCTCAGCCTGGGCAGCTGGCCTGGCTGCCTGGTCTCTGAAATGTGTCTTTACCCCATTGTGGAGGCACGCAGAAGCCTTCCTTCACCTTCCCCCAGTTCCCTCCCTCCTCCCAGAACTCAGTGGACCACAGTTGTTGCACTGCACTGTTTAGGGAATGAATGCCGTACCCTGGCACCTGACGCTGGGCCTCCTGCACGATCCTGCTGCTGAGGTCCCTGGGAGAGGAGGGGACACAGCAGGAACTGCTCTGGGAGCCGTGGGTCCCTGTTCCACGTGTCTTTCTCAGAGCTTTACAGCTCCTGACCCTGGGACTAGGATCTGATTCGCATGGAACCTGCCCGGCCTTAGAGCTGGTAGGAGTAAGTGGATTCATGTTAGTTCAGCTCAGGTCCTTGCTTAGCCATCAACAGAAGGACAGTGTGGGTATGTGGCCTTACCCATCAGCAGGCTCAGATTCAGTGCCAAGCACTACAGAAGTGGAGGCTGTGTCTGCACTTGTGCATGGTAGGTAGGGGTGCACTCTGCAGCTCTGAAGCAGCAGGACCTAGCACAGAGCTCTCAAGCCTAGGCTGGTGGTGTCCTCTGTAGGGTGTTTGTCCCATACCCAGGTGCTGAGGAAGCAAGGTGGGGTCACCATATCATGGTCCTCATGTACTGCCCCAAGCTACTTAAGATGTCCAAGTGCAGAGTGGGGGTGGAATTACCCCCCTTTCTAGATAAACTCCAGAAAGAGGCCTAGAAGCAGCTGTTCCAGACCCACAGACATGATTCCAGGTTCTGGGTAAAGCTTACTAAAGAATCCAGGTGGTAATGGCACATGCCTTTGTGAGTGGATCTTTGTGAGTTTGAGGCCAGTCTGCTCTACAGTGAGTTCTAGGACAGCCAGAGCTACACAGAGAAACCCTGTCTCAAAAAAACAAAACAAAGTTTGCTAAAGAAACAGACAGCTTCTGCCTGGAAGGAAGTGGGCTCAAGGACGTCACTATGCACAAAAGAAAATGCCAGTGCTTGAAGAATAACCCTAGAAGGGACCCCAGGCCCAACATACAAGATGCTCCACGGGAGCTGAGTGCTTTCAGATGTGGAAAGAAGGGTTTTACACAAAGCCTGGAAGAAGGACACTCCCTGGAAGAAGTAGCCAGAGGGACAGACAGCTACCCAGAGCAACTGCAGAAACGGTGTGGTGATGTCCGGGCTTGGGGTGACCTAGACGCTGGCCTCAGGCTCTGTGCATGGTGAACAAGGGGTGTTTCTCGTAGCCAAGGAGAGGAGGCTGAACTACCCTGCTCAGAGAAAAGGTCTGTTTGCTCCCTGGAGAACACAGAGCCAAGCAGGGTCAGAGAGCCCAGGTGGTGAGAGCTCCTGTGCAAAACCCTTCACAGACGCCTGAACAAAGCTCTCACCTGACTGAAGGTGGTATCCTGAAACAGCAGCCACAGGTTGGCTGTTGCTCCACAATGCTGCTGGCAGTGTGGGGACCCAGCGCTGATAAGACAAACTTCTGTCAGGGTCTTCAGTGCACTCACCCTTTAAGCAAGCAGTGCCCTTCTGCAGCTCCAGCGTGGCAGGGCCTGATGCCTTGGGATTCTGGTGCTGCCACTTGTGAATAATGTGGAACTGGGCATTCTTCCTCCAGGCACTGGGAGTGAGCATCCATGCTCTCCTTCCACCCCGCTCCCAGGGATTCCATTGGCTTCAAAGGAAGCATTGAGGAGAGATGTCAGCTGGACGGTGGTGGCGCCCACCTTTAATCCCAGCACTCGGGAGGCAGAGACAAGTGGATCTGTGAGTTCATGGCCAGCCTGGTCTACAGAGCAAGTTCCAGGACAGCCAGGACTGTTTTACAGAGAAACCCTGTCTCAAAAAAAAAAAAAAAGGAGAGGTATCAACAGCAGTGTGCCTTGGGTGTCGGAGTGAAGAGGGCTGCCACATGAATCCTCTCACAACTCCAGCCTCTAGGGAATGGCAGCAGCTGACTGGAGACTGGTCTCTGTGGCAGAGTGGGCAGGAAGCACTGAATTTCTTTTAGACTTTACTCAGAGCCGGGGGCGGGCAGGTCAGCAAGCAGAGTGCTTGCGTGCCATGCACAGGCTCTGGCCTCAGTCTCCGCACCATGGGATCCTGGCAGGGGTTACACACCTGTTACCCCTGCACATGGAAATGAAAGAAGAAAGATCAGAGTCCAAGATGAGCTTTGACCTCATAAAATGTACACGGTCACAACTGGGCATAGTGGCACACACCTTTAATCCCAGCATCAGGAGCAGAGGCAGGGGTATCTCTGTGAGTTACAGGCTGGGACTACAAAGTAAGAGAAACCTGTCTCAAAAAACAAACACAAAAAAATACACAAAAAACTTCTCGTGGCTGTTAGAGTGGGACAACTGCGTGGGCCGCAGGTGTGAAGTCACGCTTTTGGGCTCAGACCTAAGCTCTGCGCTAGATACATAAGTTCTCACCTTTCATGACCAAGATTGACGAGGTCTGATAGCCCATGCAAAAGCAGCACTTAGGAGGCAGGCATGTGGGCCGCCAGTTGTCCCTTGCTGTCCCTGTCAGACTCAGTGAGGAGCAGTCCTGGCTCTGCAGCTTCTCCACCCCAACTGTGCTGCTCTGGTAGTGGAGGTCTGTGAGAATGCTGACTAAAGCTTAGCCTGGACCGGTACCCACAGCAGGGAGCTTTGTTCTAGTATTCTGACCCCTGTCTCCCTTGAGAGGCCGGCTCCTTGAGCCTGTCAGCCTTTGTCCGCTAAAGCTTAACCATGGCTTCAAAGGTGTGTCTGTGGGGAACGCAGAGCCTTCCCTCCAAGAAGATACAAGGGGATGCTAGTGCAGTCCTGGCCTGGCCTAGGCAGCTCCATGCGCTCCTGGGAATGGGCAGTCTGAGCAGGTTTGCCTACAGCTTAGGCCAGCCGCTGTCTGGGGACCTGGTCTTCTGCCTTCACTTAGTAGCTATGGCAGAGAAAAATTAGTTACGGGGTCATGGCAGGCTGACTTGACAGACACCTGACTCCCGTGTAGGAAGAACCTAATATTTTCTTCTCTGTCTCAGGGGTCAAATGTGATGGAAGAGCAGGACCTGAGGGAGATTGGTATCAGTGACCCACAGCACCGGCGGAAGCTGCTGCAGGCCGCACGCTCCCTGCCCAAGGTGACCACTCCCGGGCCAGGGCCAGGGCCATGTTGTTCAATTCCTAAACCAGTGGTTCTCAACATGTGGGTCATGGCACCTTGGGGGTCAAATGGCCCTGTCATGGGGTCACACATCGTATATCCTGCATATCAGATAAATTTACATTATGATTCGCAACTATGACAAAATTGCAGCTGTGAAGTAGCAACAAAATCATTTTATGGTTGGGGTCACCACAACATAGGAACTGTCACAGCATTAGTAAGGGTGAGAACTGCTGGCCTAGACTGAAAGCAGGAAAGAAGCCGGGCTCTGAGGCATGCAGGTCTCATCCGTGTCTGCCCTCATAAGAGCCCACAGGGCACAGGGTCTTGGTTCCTTCCTTATAAGGCCCTCAGGCCCTTGGAGAGTAGCAGGGCTACAGGGGCAGTAAGTGTCTTGTCTGACTGACCGAGGAGGATCTAGGGTCCTCTTGGCACAGAGCCAGGTCCCATAGGCTTGCCCTATCACCAGAGCCCCCTTTGGAGTCTCCCCAGAAAGGCCTGAGAGGAGCAAGCATGAAAGGTAGCACTGGCTTCTTTGAGGCCACAGCCTCCACCCCCTGACCGTTAGCGCTGTGGCCAGTGTCCACCCCCTGACCGTTAGCGCCGTGGCCAGTGCCCACCCCCTGACCGTTAGCGCCGTGGCCAGTGCCCACCCCCTGACCGTTAGCGCCGTGGCCAGTGCCCACCCCCTGACCGTTAGCGCCGTGGCCAGTGCCCACCAGAGCTCAGGAAGTGACTGCTTTATAGACACACACTATACTCTTGTCCTCACAAGCCTGTGGCCATTCTGTCTCCCCTCCTCCGCAGATCTAGTAGTCTCTGCCCCTCAGAATGGTGATGGACTGTGCTAAGGGAAGGGCTCAGGGGAGCCCTTGGTTCCCATGTTCTTCCCCTGTGACTAAGGGCTGTGGTTCCTGCCTCCTCATACCACAGGTGAAGGCTCTTGGCTATGATGGAGTCAGCCCCCCCTCGGTGTCCTCCTGGTTGGACTCACTGGGGCTGCAGGACTACATCCACTCCTTCCTGTCGAGCGGCTACAGCTCCGTGGATGCTGTGAAGAACCTCTGGGAGCTGGAGCTTGTCAACGTGAGTTCACCGTGGGAGAGGCTGGGGCAGGAGGGCCCAGGGCCCAGCTCCACTCACTGCTCCTCTGCCCTCTGCCAGGTCCTGAAGGTTCATCTGCTGGGCCACCGAAAGCGCATCTTCGCCTCTCTTGCAGAAAGGCCCTATGAGGAGCCCCCACAAAAGCCCCCGAGGTTTTCCCAGCTAAGAGTGAGTTCAAGGAGGGGGAAGGCCCATGAGTGCACTTTGTTTAGACCTGGTTAACAGGGGCATGACTCAGGTTTGCAGACAAGCCCTGCCCTCTTCTGCTGGTCTCATGCACGGGGCATGGCTCCGGTCCTTTGCAAGGGTGCCACCTTTTATCTGTATCCCAAGATGCTGGGATGGCCACTAGTGAAGGACCACTTTAACTACAGAAAGGAGCTAACGTGCAGTTCCAGGCTGGGACACATCAAGGGCTTAGGCTCAGCTCTGTACCTAGGTACTGAGGAGACCCTGCCAATGCCCAGTGTGTGCCTGAGACAACTATTCCCTGCTATTCACCCCTTAGCCTTGTATTCACCCTAGGTAGCCTCAGGACAGCCCACACCTTCAGCCTGGGAATTTCACCAATTTCTTGCCCAACAGTGCCAGGATTTAATCTCCCAGACATCATCCCCGCTGAGCCAGAACGATTCCTGTACAGGGCGGTCAGCAGACCTGCTGCTGCCCTCAATAGAAACTAGCAGGAGGCGTCACGACAGCCCATACGACCCTGGGGCAGCCTGTCGAGCAGAGCACTTCCCAACCCCCCCCCCCCCTGCCCTTCCCCCAGGACAGCACAAGTATCCCTAAACCCACCCTCTGCCCATTCCCACAGGACAGCACAAATTTCCCTAAACTCCCCCTCTTCTGCTGGTCTCATGCACGGGGCATGGCTCCGGTCCTTTGCAAGGGTGCCACCTTTTATCTGTATCCCAAGATGCTGGGATGGCCACTAGTGAAGGACCACTTTAACTACAGAAAGGAGCTAACGTGCAGTTCCAGGCTGGGACACATCAAGGGCTTAGGCTCAGCTCTGTACCTAGGTACTGAGGAGACCCTGCCAATGCCCAGTGTGTGCCTGAGACAACTATTCCCTGCTATTCACCCCTTAGCCTTGTATTCACCCTAGGTAGCCTCAGGACAGCCCACACCTTCAGCCTGGGAATTTCACCAATTTCTTGCCCAACAGTGCCAGGATTTAATCTCCCAGACATCATCCCCGCTGAGCCAGAACGATTCCTGTACAGGGCGGTCAGCAGACCTGCTGCTGCCCTCAATAGAAACTAGCAGGAGGCGTCACGACAGCCCATACGACCCTGGGGCAGCCTGTCGAGCAGAGCACTTCAGAGTCCAGGTGAGCAGGGGGTCAGCGCCTGCAGGGGCCACCATCTGGGGCTCTCCTGTGGCAGGATCTCCTGTCTAGCCCTGCAGGCCTTGCTCACCCCATGGTGAGCCATCCCATTCTCTCACCCATCTTTGTCCCCAGAACTTCCTTCTCTGTAGCTGAAAGCTTCCTTTCCTCCTGTGCCACCAACCCTGCAGAACCACTGCCCAGGTCATTATGTGCTCTGCTGCTGCTGTTCTTAGACTGTGGGCACAGATGGGTGTTTTCATGCTCACTGCACTTAACCAGGGCAAGGCTGGTACAATCTTGCATTCTGGGCTCAGCCTTTGGAGCCCTCACCCTCACCCTCATCCAGTGCTTGCCAGTCTGTCCTCCTGCCCTGCCAGCCTCTGGCTCTGTGCCTTGCTGCAAGTAGCCTTATGCACCTCAGACTGGCAGGTGTCCCTTTCCCTCTGGGAGTACTGTGCTTCACCCCCACCTGCTCTGGCACCCTGCACATACTCCAGGTCACTAGGTGTCCCCTGTCGCCTATCCCCTCCCCACAGCACAGCTGAGAATTTTACTGTCCAATTGTTCAGTTCTCTGTGGGTTGTGCACATGCACTACAGAGGCCTCCAGCAACCCCATTGGCTAGCAGAGGGTCCATTTAGAATGCATCCTGGCCAGTCATTGATGGCACACACCTTTAATCCCAGCACTTGGGAGGCAGAGGCAGGAGGATCTCTGTGAGTTCAAGGCCAGCCTGGTCTACCAGAGAAAGTGCCAGGATAGGCTCCAAAGCTACACAGAGAAACCCTGTCTAAAAAAAAATTGCATCCTTTGCGCCAGACCTTTGGAAGCCAAGGACTCAGCTCCATGGTTTTAGCCCTTGTTCTTTATGTCAAATGTTGTCCACAGCTTTTGTTTCCCACACAATCTGCTGTGTGCGTGCTCCTGTCTCAGGTCCAGAGCTCTTCCTGGGTGCTGGCCCTGGAGTACCTCTCTTGGCCCTGCTGGTGCTCAGGTGCCTGCTGGTGCCTGCTTGCCTCTGTACCTGGCTCCCCACTCCTGGGGTGCTGGAGGCGGACTGGAGCAGGTGAGCTCCCCTGGAGCAGGTGAGCCGTGCCCCACTGTGTGTGTTCTACAGGAGGAGCCCAGCGAGACCAAGCTGACCCTCCGCCCGCCCAGCCTGGCTGCACCGTATGCTTCAGTGCAGAGCTGGCAGCACCAGCCAGAAAAGCTCATCTTTGAGTCCTGTGGATATGAGGCCAATGTGAGTTGCTCCTGCCCTCCCGAGATGGCCAGCCTCCCTTCCTACCTGGACCGCTGCTGTGCCGAGGGAGGGACACTAGCCTGAGAATAAGACGGGGAGGGAGCTATGATCGGGCAGGAGAGAAGAATGTGTTGGGACAGGGGACCATCTAACAGCAGGGTGCTCCACAATGGCTCGATCGTCGTGTAGGACAGCACAAGTGTCCCTAAACCCACCCTCCTCCGCCTTCCCCCAGGACAGCACAAGTATCCCTAAACCCACCCTCTGCCCATTCCCACAGGACAGCACAAGTGGCCCTAAACTCACCCTCCTCCGCCCTTCCCACAGGACAGCACAAGTGTCCCTAAACCCACCCTCCTCCGCCCTTGCCTTCCCCCAGGACAGCACGAGTGTCCCTAAACCCCCCCTCCTCCGCCCTTCCCACAGGACAGCACAAGTGTCCCTAAACCCACCCTCCTCCGCCCTTGCCTTCCCCCAGGACAGCACGAGTGTCCCTAAACCCACCCTCCGCCCTTCCCACAGGACAGCACAAATGTCCCTAAACCCACCCTCCTCCGCCCTTCCCACAGGACAGCACGAGTGTCCCTAAACCCCCCCTCCTCCGCCCTTCCCACAGGACAGCACCAATGTCCCTAATCCCTCCCTCCGCCGCCCTTCCCACAGGACAGCACCAATGTCCCTAATCCCTCCCTCCGCCGCCCTTCCCACAGGACAGCACCAATGTCCCTAATCCCTCCCTCCGCCGCCCTTCCCACAGGACAGCACCAATGTCCCTAATCCCTCCCTCCGCCGCCCTTCCCACAGGACAGCACCAATGTCCCTAATCCCTCCCTCCGCCGCCCTTCCCACAGGACAGCACCAATGTCCCTAATCCCTCCCTCCGCCGCCCTTCCCACAGGACAGCACAAGTGTCCCTAAACCCACCCTCTGCCCATTCCCACAGTATCTGGGCTCCATGCTGATCAAAGATCTGCGAGGGACAGAATCCACACAAGATGCCTGTGCCAAAATGCGGGTAAGGAGCTGGAGAGATGGCCTAACAGAAACTCATCTTGCCTCCATGGGCACCTGGCAAGTACATGCTAATATATGCACAGGCAAAAGTACCATATAAATAACAGGAAAATAAAAAGGGAGAAACGTGGGGAGGTGGTAGGTGGCTGACTAGAACAGCCAGTAGGAATGCCAGTTACAGCTGCCTCGTCTGCCCACACCATGGAGGGGTGGAAAGGGCTGTGCAGTCAGAGAGCACACTCTTAGCCCACCCCATATTCTTACAGAAATCTACCGAACACATGAAGAAGGTCCCCACCATCATCCTGTCCATCACATACAAAGGGGTCAAGTTCATCGATGCTTCCAACAAGGTATGCTTGTCGTGAAGACTGCTGGCAGGTGATTAGACCTTGTGTCCCCTGTGACCAGATGCCTGAGGGAATACAACCTGAGTTGCAGAAGGGCTGGTCCGTGCTCACCTGCTCGGTGTTTCTGGGCCTGTGTAAGGCAGTACACCAGCAGGGGGAGGAGACTCATGGCCGGGCTCTTCACCTTGTGGTACTCAAGAAGCAGAGAAGGGAGACAGGAAACACCAGGGACAAGCCTCTAGGACCTCCTAAAATAGCACTTCCAGGCAAGACCAACCTTCAGTACACAGTCCTTGGCGGGAGGGGGGGAGCTCACTGCTTAACCACAGCATCCTGCCCCAGCCCCAGCCAGTTCATGACCATCGAATAATACAGATGTATCTAGTCCACTCCAGGCGTCCCCCCAGCCCTTACAGAATGCAGAAGTATGTAGTCTGCCTCAAGCGTCCTCTGAGCCCTTAATGGTTCTAGCACTTCTCAAAAGTACACGTTCAGAGTCTCTTGAAACATTCAAAGCAAACATTTTTTTAGACAGGGTCTTGCTATGTAGCCCTGGACATCCTAGAACTCACTGTAAAGGCTAGACTGGCTTCAAACACACAGGGATCTGCCTTCCTTTGCCTCCCAAGCACTAGAATTAAAAGCATGTGCCACCAGGACCAGCTTGAAAACAAACTTAACTGTGAGCCCCTATAAAAATCAGAAACCAGGCACTGGAGAGATGACTTGGTGGTTAAGAGCACTGACTGCTCTTCCAGAGGACCCGGGTTCAATTTCTAGCACTCACATGGCAGCTTACAACTGTCCATAACTCAGGTTCCAGGAGACCTGACAGCCATGGGGGGGGGGGGGAACAGTGCACATAAAACAAAAAAAAACAACAACAAAAAAAAAAAAAACTGGAGAGATCTAACTGAGTAAGAACACTAGAAGATCCAGGTTCAATTTTGAGCATCCACATGGTGGCACAAAACCATTTGCAATTCCACTTCCAGGGAAATCTGATACCCTTGTTCTGGCCTTAGCAGGCACCAGGCACACATGTGGTACCCAGACATACATACAGGCAAAACTCCATACACGTTTTATGAATAAAATTTAAAATAATAAAACTCAGAAAACAGATTACATGCTCCTGAGATAACAAATGGCACAGAATAAAAAATTGTCACTCTAAAAGGAAGAAATGAATTTAGCAAAGATCAGACTAAAGCAAACAGGATCCCAGCAAGGTGAAGGATACCCATTGCTCCATGTCTGGCTCGACCTGTAGTGTGGCACTGAGAGGGCCAGGGGCTTGGGAAGCCCCGCTGTTTCAGCCCTTGCCTCTTTGTTGTCTTAGCTGGCTCTGGTCACTGCTCCCAGCTTTCCTTGGGAAACATCCATATTCCTGATACCTGCAGTTTCCTGAGTCTCCATCGCTTTCATCTTCACAGCTTCTCCAATTTCCCTCTTGGAGACTTCCCATGGGGCTCCTGATGCTACCACACACTGCCTGGCCCCCAGGCCCCCCTTTGAAATTGGAGTGCAAGCCTCCATGACCCTGTAACTTGCATTCTTCATGCCAGCAAAACTAGCATCACATAGGTGATGCTAGGGTGTGCGTCCACTAAAGCAGCAGCTGGGCCCTTAGAGCACGACTGTGGCGGGCTTTGAGTACTTGGGTGATTGAATATGGTCAGATGAATTCCAGGGAAACATCTTCCTAGGTGGCCCGGCCCGGGCAGAGCACTCGAGAAGCTGAAAATGCGTTTACTCTTCCGTGGGTGGGGTCTGCCCGAGGCCCAGACTGTCTCCAAAGCCATTCCCCTGTTGTAGTGGCTCCTCTTCAGTGCTGCTGCTATCTTCAGGTCCATTTTGTCCTTGGGCCAGCTTCACCGAGCAGGGACAGGGTGGAGCCAAATTCTTCATCACAGTGCCACGTGAGGCCCAGTCGACCCTTGAGCACGGTCTCTCCTGTCCTCCCTCCCCTCAAGCTCTGCTGGTAGCCTCCTACTAGTTCTCTACCCCACACTCCCACACTCCCCTGCAGAGGTGAGAACCATGTGGTCAGGTCAGTCACTGCAGTAGCTCCGTCTGTGCCACGTTTTCATTACTGTGACTGAGTGACTGCCCAGGAACCAATTCAAAGCACAAAGAAAGGTTCCAGGAGTGGAGGCACGTCAGAGGAAGCTTGCCCAAGGTAGGCAGGGAACAGTGAGGAGGGCCAGGCAGGAATATCCACCCAGAGCAGGCTTGCAGTAATCCACTTCCTATACCACCTCTTAATGTTTCCAGCACCCTCTAGAATATTGGCAAAAACTGGGGAGCAGGTGTCCAGTACTTGAGCCTTTGAAGCACTTCCTGTCCCAAGGGCAGCGTTGAGAAGGGCCATCTCACTATCAAGTCCCTGGGACTCTTCCTTCCTATTTGCTGCTCCTCATCCTGGAATCCCATTTCTGTCCCAGCTGTAGTGACAGTTGCTCTTCTCGTCTTTGCCCTGGCCTTGGTGGCTCCTTCAGTGAACTCAGAGGTCCACCTCCCAAGAGTGCTCTTCTGCCTGTCTGTGGGGGACAGGTGGGGCATGTGCTTGCCTGTTGGCCATGGTCAGGGGTGAGGAAAGAGGGCAGGGGATTGTCTGGAGTTCCAGGCTGGTAAAATTTTGAAGTGGTAATCCTAGAGGCATGCCCTGTGGGGACCGTGAGCTCAGAACATATTTTTCTTGGCAGAATGTCATTGCTGAGCACGAGATCCGGAACATTTCTTGTGCTGCGCAGGACCCAGAGGACCTGTGTACCTTTGCCTACATCACCAAGGACCTGCAGACTGGCCACCACTACTGCCATGTCTTCAGCACAGTGGATGTGGTGAGTGTCCCCATGACAACAGCAGGCTCTGCCCTAAGAAGGCAGCAATGCCCATGGCCCTCAAGGGGCCGCTCTCCCTGTGGCTGGATGGGGGAGGTCAGTGCTGGCCTTAGCCCTGACAGACAGTGGAGTGGCCTACGAATGAAGCCCGCAGGCAGTATCCAGTGCAGTCCTTTTCACAGCCATGAGCACCCTGAGGGAAGCGCCTTGGGCCTGGGCATTAGTGACACCTTGGTCTGTAGCTACTTGTTTTTGGATGAGACAGGTTGTCACCCCAGTGCCCCAGCTCTCCAAGCTGCTGGTAGTCGTACACTCCTTGCTCCTGCTTACCCAACAGGAAGTGCCCTACGTCCAGCTCTCTGGGGCTTCCTCCACACAGATGCTGCAGGAAGTCTTTGCAGCCCTGGACCGTGGCATCAGATGCCCAGTTTTACCCCTGGTAGCTCAATGATGGAGAAAAGTTGTCTCCTCCCCTCTGGGCTGCACTCGATTACTTGGCATTAGCTAGCAGCTCCTCACCTGTGGCATCTGCTCCAATGGACCCTGGGTTTCCAGGCACGTGGGGTGGGGGCACACCCCACACTTTATGCACTTCCAATCACTGCACCTTGGGAAGAGCCAGCCAGAGAAGACTGGGAGTGGGCATTGTCCCGAGACTTCAGGGTTGAACACAGGTGTCTCCTCTTACGTGAGCAGCTTAACTGATTTTGCAGTCTAGTGTTTGGGAAACTAAATGTACAAAACTGCTTTACTTGAAACAAACTTGTGGGTTTTCTTGTTTTGTTTGGCTTTCCAAGACAGGGTTTCTCTGTCCTGGAACTCACTCTGTAGACCAGACTGGCCTCGAACTCATAGAGATCCCTATGCCTGGCCCTGCCTCCTGGGATTAAAGTCCGTAGGATTAAAGGCATGCACCACCACTGCTGGGCTTAAATTTGTTTTCAAAAAGTTAAGTTTCCTGCTCACTGTGAGGAGTTCGGCGTCTGCAAGAAGCTGTACTGCTACTGATTGGTGACACTCTTCTTCTTCCCAGAACCTCACCTACGAGATCATCCTGACCCTGGGGCAGGCATTTGAGGTGGCCTATCAGCTGGCCCTTCAGGCCCAGAAATCCAGGACCATGGGGGCCTCTGCAACTGCAATGATTGAGACAAAATCTTCCAAACCTGTGCCTAAGCCTCGGGTCGGCGTGAGGAAGTCTGCAGTATGTGCCCTTCCTCATCCACAAGGCACCCCCAGGGCTCGGGTGGAGCGGGGCAGTTGACCCAGTAAAGCAACCCTCTTCCTTTAGCTCCCCTCCCCTGCAGCCCTGGGTTCCTCAGGCAGGAGGGCAGTTGTCTTCCCTTGTCAGGCCCAAGCCAGGGCAAGGTCATCCTGGGGCTGCTGAGCGTGGCCACTGCAAGCGCCCAGTGACATCCGCCTTGTCTGTCTGCTCTGCTCTGCGCCCCAGGTGCCGATGCCCCCCGATACTCGCTGTTGTTACTGTCATTCCTGCACCACCCACCGTCCTTCCTACCTACCGCTACCACTGCCGTCTCTTAGTCCTGGAGTCAAGGTCTTTCCGATTCCCGCTGTCTTGTGTGTCAGGCTCTCTGAAGCGCCCGTGAGCTGTCTCATATCCTGGTGGCCTCTTGCTCTGCCTGTGTGACACTCTTTCCTTTCTGGAGATGCTCTCCCTGTGTGCTCTGCCCTTTGTCTGTCGTGTGTCCTCTGCCAAGGTCTGGGATGAGTACAGTGGTCTCGCCTCAGGCTGAGCTCTTCTGCCCACCAGAGGGACCAAGGGCTGGGGCTGGTGGGCATCTGTCCCCATCCTGCCCACACGGCCAGACTGAAGCTTAGAGTATGAACTCCAGTGGGGCAGAGTTCCTTTACCTGAGTAGTCCCCGAGGAACTGCTGCTTAGAGTTCCTGGAGGTGTCGTGCTGGGCCTGTGCTTTGGCTCCTAACCCTGTTTCCTTGTTTGGCAGCTGGAACCACCTGATTCGGACCAGGAGGCCCCATCCCACGCTAGTGTTTCCTGGATTGTGGACCCAAAGCCAGACTCTAAGCGGAGCCTCAGCACCAAGTATGAGACCACTATCTTCTAAACAAACAGCCACCCTGTCTCCACTACCCCCACTGTGCCTTTGCCACCCGATCGTTCTGCTGTCTCAACTCTCCTTCCGGCTGCCGCCACCAAGGCCCCACCTCCATGGGCCCTGCCCTCCTGCAGCAGTTCTAGACATTCCTCCACTCACAGCTCCTGCTTACACCACCCAACACTGTGACTCCTCCCTTTGGGCTCAGGACAGCTCGGGGTGACTTGCCTTTCAAAGGGGCACCAGAAGGGTTCTGAGGCCCCCCAGAGCCTCTGCAACAGGCACTGGGAGGTGAGGAGAGGGGTGGCTTCCAGTGGGACCCCGAGAGCCCCCAGCAAGGTTGCTTTCCTCTCCTGGGCCACAGCTGGTTGGTAAAAGCCACCAGTGTCCACCTTTGCTGACCCGCCCACCACTGTGACCACCCAGTGCCAGGGTACCCTGCTATCAGGTGCTGCTTTCTCACCTGGTCAGGCCCATGATGTGGCTTCGCCAGGGGAAGACTTTCTGTAAGGGTGAAGTTGGTACCAGCCACACTCTCGCGCACGTCCAAACAACAGGTTCCTAAGTGACCTGTGTGTGCTTGGCCCCTTTCTGTACTGTGGGCCCTGGTTCTGGAGTCTGACTCATCGAGGCATGCCCTGAGCACAAGTGCGCCTTCTTCTTCTCAGAGTGGAGCTGCCCGTGCACAGGGCAGAGACTGCGCAGCGTTCTCATACTCCCACGGTGGTGGGGACCTGAGACA